TTGTTTTTGCTCATATAAACATTGTCCCCTAGCATCCAAAATACATAAATTATTGTCTTTGTACCTCTTTGTCTTTGACTTCAAAACTCTATTTAATAATATTAGTCCAATCAAGCCAATGATTAGGTACTTAATATGTTACAGACTTACAGGAATGTAATCATGGACAAGACAAGGGCTCTGTTTTCTCAGAAAAACATAACAAAAGTGTTCAATGAGTTAAGCAGTAGAGTAAGGTAGAATTAAAAATGTTTTGACATTTCAACAAGACAATGCCTGCCTTAAAATATAATGGTTTCATTATTTATATTGCAGGGGCTATTTTCACAGATTCTGGAAGAGGGAACTGGGTCACCAGGAACTGAAATGACAGGTGGTTGGGAGCTGCCTGAAGTGAGTGTTGGGAATTGAAACTGGGTTTTCTGTAAGTCAGAAAAATTATATTCACAGAATTTATGTGGCAAGTCCCAGGATAAATAAAATTGTGTATCCAGTCAACTTAACAATTGCTCTGTATTTGAAATAAAACTTAACAAAACCAAGACAGGAGTAAAGAATACTATTGTTAAAGGAATTCTAGATTCTTGGAGAATGAAAACCTATTTTGAGTCCCTTTATATTACAGTTATTCATTCCCTTGGCTACCACCGTCAATGGGTGCCAAAGTCCTTCTACACTTGAGCAATTCTCTTTCGTGTCAGTGTAAACAGGGCCTTTGCCAAGATTATGTTTTAGCTGTTAAGTTGAACTAAAACTCAGTCCAAAGTCTCAAAGAGAGTTACCTAATTTGCAAAGTGTTACAAACCATAGTAGGTTAACTGTGGCAGAATATTAGTTTAATTTATATTAACTAATATATTATATATTATATAATATTAATTTATTATATTAATTTATAATGTGGAATATTTGTTTAATGATGTTATATTAATTTATAATGTGGAATATTTGTTTAATGAAGTAAAGGTGTGCTGCATTCTTTTATGTTACTTTGTTTAACTCTATAAAGCTATGTTACTTTGCCTGCCTAAAACACCTGGTTGGTCTAATAAAGAGCTGAATGGCCAATAGCTAGGCAGGAAAGGGATAAACCAGAAGAGAGGATACACAGAAAGAAATCTAGGTTCAGGAGGAAAAGGAAATGAGAAAAGGAGGAGAGGAGGGCACGGTGGGCCAGTCACACAGCCAACTGTGGAGTAAGAAGGAAAGAAAGATACATAGAATAAAGAAAGGAAAAAAAATCCCAGAGACAAAATGTAGTTAAAGAGAAACAGGATAATTTAAGTTAGAAAACTGGCTGTAAATGAGCCCAGCTAAGGCCAGGCATTCATAAGGAAGAATAAGTCATTATTTGGGAACTGGATGCCAGGCCCTCAGAGAGTGAAAAATAAAACAAAACCAATCTACAATCAACCAGTAGTTTAATCTCATGATGTGCTTTCTCAACAGCACACAGGCAGTCTTCAGGGCTTGGAAATTATTTTTTGTGGTCTTCTTAAGTGGCCTTTATCTCACCATATAAAAGTTAAAGAATGCATGAGCCAAACTGTCCCATAGCTACATGATTTTATCATAAGCTAGCCCCCTAATTGCCTATGCCTGCCTCTTATTTCATAGCCTTTAAGAAGCAAAGATGCGGGAAGCTATACCACATGAAAATGGAGGCCTAAGACACTGGTGGCACAGAAGTAAGAGAAATGAAGGGCTCTTCCCAAGCCACTCCGCTTCCAGACTTCATGAGGTCTGCTCTTCACTCTGATACCACAGGCCAATGGGAATATTGTTATTAAAAAGTCAGAGAGATCCTAAAAGGGAGAGGTTGCTGTCATGGGATCCTCTAGCTCCTTCCCGTCTCTATTATTATATGAAACTGAAGGTTTTTATGGGGAAGGAAAGGAGACTAGTATCAAACAAAGTAGTTCTCAATATAATATTGTCATATCTGCACTCAAACCATCAATTTGTGAAAGCTGCATTCCTATCATTTATGCAGCTGAATGCTTGGCTTCTTCTCTAGAATTCTGATGTGGCATTTGAACATTACCAATGACTGAAGGATAGACACCAAGGTGATGTGTGTGTGTGTGTGTGTGTGCGTGCACTCACATTCACTGTGATATATATATATATATATATATATATATATCACAGGAGAAATTCAAGAGTTTTCTGAAGGCATATGACTATACCTAGGAGTTCTAAGTCATAGACTTAAAGGGTGAGCACCAATTGATGTCACAGAGGAAGCATCAGGTGAAAGAAACTCAGGAGGCTTGATCTGAGGCAGGAGAGTGAGACAATGCTATTTCTTCCAACAGGAGTTAAAAAAATACAAAAGAAAATTCATTGATTACATCATCTGTCCAGACTTGACTCCAGTTTTGTTTTACTTTTCTTTGTTTTTATTTGAAAGACAATGTATTTTTCTCTTTTGAGAATCAGATGAAATATAAGAAAAACTTTACTGTTACTATTCTACAATAAAGTTCAACAACCTGACTGGTCTCATCTGAAAACAGCAACAATTACAGAAACAACATTTTTCTGAAATCCTGTGAGTTTTCCTTCTCGGTCTTGGTACATAAACAGTTCTCCCATGAGGACCACTCTGTATTTTTAATAACAGCCTCTCAAGTCAGATAAATATCATAATATAGGATAGAAATTGTGAAGTCCAGGAGCACAGTGGGCTGCTTCTCTGCCATCCATGTCTTGAGGTTCTTAATTAACTAATAGCAAGAGGCTTCATATTTTCCCATTGTATTGTCCCATAACACAATTTAGCCATTTATGGAGCATAGATACATGATTCTTATTGTGTAGGAATAAAACCATCTCAGTTTATTTTAGTTTCACATGTCATTACATACTGAAGTTTTGCTGTGTTCACTTCTTTTTATTTCATTACTACTACCAAGGGATTCCAAGTTAGCATTTTCTTTTGCAGATATTATAGAAATAACTAGGATTTGGTGCCATCAACTTTCAAACAAGGAACACCAATAGAGACCAAGAACAATGTTGTGAATGATAAAAGCAGAGATATCAAGCCATCGACAAGGTCACACCTCAAAGCAAAGCATTTGCACCCACAGAAAAAGATAACTCTCAGCCTTGATCAGAGGATCCTGTCCTTGCAGTGAACAATGGGGAACAAAAAAAACCATGACTTCAAGGATGCACAGAAGAAGGCACAACTAAGGACTCAGCTCAAAACATGACTTCCTACTCCCTGCTATGGCTTAGGGGGCATTGTGATGGGGGTGCACAGCCTGAGAACAAGAAGTAGGATTGGGCGAAATGATTCATGAAAGAGTCTGCGAGACATTCTGCAGGACACAGCAGAAAATGACTAAACTGTCTTTAAAATTTCCTGCTTCATGGAAATGTCTCTGGATACCATGGGCCTGTAGGCCGAAGATGGATGCCCCAACAGTACAGAGGAACTTTGGGTGACTGTCCAGGCTGCGAGATGTCTCTGTCATTTCTAGAGTTTTCTTACTCAAGTATTATTATATCCTTCTGGAGTCTTTGATGGAGTTGAAGAATGAATAGTTATAATTTTCCTTAGTTATGATAAGATATAAAATAGATATAAATATTGTAACTGTAATTCTTACTTGATAACTGTTTTGTTATATGTAATTTTACTATGCTAAAGTTAAAGCCTTTCTTTTTTGTTTAAACGGAAAAAGGGGAAATGATGTGGGAATGATTTCTTACTAATAAAGAAACTGCCTTGGCCCATTTTATTGGATAGAAAATTAGGTAGGCGGAGTATACAGAAGAGAATTCTGGGAAAAAGAAGCTGAGAGAGTCGCCATGATGCTCCCACTCCAGACAGACGCAGGTTAAGATCCTCTCTGGTAAGCCAGCTCATGGGCTACACAGAATATTAAAAATGGGTTAGAACAATATGTAAGAGCTAGCCAATAAGAAACTGGACCTAGCCAGGCCAGGCAGTGTTTGAAAGAATACAGTTTCCTTGTAATTATTTCTGGGTATAAACTAGCCATGCTGGCGGCCGGGTGCCGGGGACGCAGCCCTGCTGCTCCTATTTCAACAGCTAACCATCATTGTACAAACTGTTTACCCCCCTCCTGTTTTAGTGACTGCTAACCATCATTGTACAAACTGTTTTAATAGTTGCACAATATTAAACTAAGCACATTATGTTTTTAATTTTAAAGAATGTATCAATGACTTATTCACCTTTTCTAGTATAAATAACTAATAACTTTCCAGTTTGGAACATCTCCACTCGACATCATGTGGCTGGGGCGGGCAAGACTCAACTAAACTTAGCCCAGGCTTTCTAGATCTGGCCTGCCAAAGGACTCCAGAAACTTTTCTGCACCAACCAGAAGCCCACTGCCAGAGGTCATTAGGGAATCAAGAATTCCTTATTTCTATATCAAACATTTTCATCTCTGATTCATTGAGAGATGCTGTGACACACAGATGCAAGGAATTCTGAAAGCATGAGCAAACACGAGCTGGCTCGAAGCATCACTCACTGGTGAGAGATCGTCATTGTTGCTAATCTACAGCTGAGGAGGCATGGTGGCTTCTGCTTGTTGTTTTAGTCCATGTGTTTTTAGTAAAATCGTGCACATTCCATAAAGTTCCAAATGCTTTAAATTCTCTTAAATTGCAAGGCTCTATGAACTTCTGAATCATTCTTGACAAACTGTACCTTATTACACCAGAGGCAGAGGGAATTGCTACTTGTGAAAAATTGCTCTTATTCTACTTGAATTTTTTGTCAATATCAAACAGCAATCATTCAACTGAACAATCCTGCTGCTGCTTACAGAAGCTGTGACAATATAGAGAGGTATCTAGGCAGAGAGACGAATGTTGTGTTTTCAAATAGCCTTGTTTTCACCCCCTGTCACTGACTAGTCCTTTTAACAGTCTACCCATTTTCTTCTTTCAGGTTTAGAAAATAAACCAGCCCCAAATGAACGCGCAAAATGCAATCTGCTGTGAAGACTCACCACTACTAGAAGTGTCATTCAGGTTTAGCAGTCCTCCTCCTAGCCCTCGGTAACTATGGTAACTGTAGGTCCCATTGCCATTGATGTACAATACCTCCTGTGAGCCTGGAACACTAGATGTTGAGTAGGTGGCCTGGGCTGCCTCAGGCTTGCACTGTTTGTCAGCGGGAGTAGCTTCGTCCTGTAACGAAACAGCATTCCATCACTGTGACGTTTCTGTGATACTTCACCCTGCACACACTCAATGCCAGACACACAGTTGCACTAAGTAAGAAAAGTCCATACAGTGAACATTAAGTTCATGTGCATATTTTTAACCTTTGATAAATATTAATAGTAATAATAATAATGATAAAGAGCCAGGCACCAATGTGGACAGGTTATAGACAGAAAACCTGACAGTTTCCAAATGAATTAAAAATGATGGAGAATGCTTCAAGCAACAAGCACTAAGAGGGTAGAAGTCACCTAAAGAACCACTGGCAAATGATTGGCCAGAGAAAACAAGGGACACACACACAGTGGAATCCTATCCCCCCTGGAAAAAAGGAAACCCTCATGATACTATAAACTGATGAGGCCCAGGGCCAGTTCTTAAGTGAATGAGTGGGCTGTAATAGAGAAGATGCTGCGTGTGAGATGAGTGAGAAGTCAAAGGCACAGATGGGTGAGGGACAATGGACAATGGTGGTGCCCAAGTCTGCCTGGACTCAGGCTGGGGGAACAGGGCTTCATTGTATGGAGAAGTAGGAGCATGGACCTGGGATCTATGCTTAACATTTCTCTCCTGATCCTGGGGAAGTAACTGGGAGAGAGGGTGGCTTTTAATTAATAGTAAACAACTTGAAGCCACATGCAGGACTGAAAATACACAGGAAGATTACAGTGGAACATTATACATATAAATCTGATCTTTTGTTTGTTCACTTCCTCTCCTCTTCCTGCCTTACATTTTTTCCTTAGTTACTTCTCTGATTCTTCCTTTTCTCTTATTCCATTTTCATTTTATGGCTGAAAAACATCAATTTTTATTGAGTATTACCTCTGCACTAGGCTTGTTGAGTGAGTAATACCTAGGACTGTTGAGTGAGTACTACCTCTACACTAGACCTGTTGAGTGAGTACCACCTCTACACTAGACCTGTTGAGTGAGTACTACCTAGGCCTGTTGAGTGAGTACTACCTAGGCCTGTTGAGTGAGTACTACCTCTGCACTAAGTCTGTTGAGTGAGTACTACCTAGGCCTGTTGAGTGAGTACCACCTCTACACTAGGCCTGTTGCTATCATTACAAGAGCCTGACAAAGATCTAAGTAAACACCCGGGTCCTTTAGTTTTTCATTCTTATGTCTGCATACACATTCACCAATTTTCATGAAACTACCTTTATCCAAGTGAAAATGTTGTAAGGGAGTAAGAAATTGACTTTGTAATAAATGGTATAATTTAAATAACCAAATATATTGAATTTCTCTTTATGAGTTTATAAAGTCTAAAATATATTCAATATGAATAGTTTAATTTCACTTGCCTTATCATCATCATTATTATTATTTGATTTTTTTTGAGACAGCGTTTTTTTTCTGTGTACCCTTGGGTTTCCTGGAACTCTCTCTGTAGATTAGGCTGGCCTCAAATTCACAGAGATTCTCTTGCCTCTCCTTCCCGAGTAGAGGGATTCAAGGCATGCACCACCACCTCCTGGCTCCGCATGTATTATTTATATTTCTTTTGATGTATTCTTTGCTTCACTCTTCCTGATATCAGGAATGATCTTCAGGGATCAAGACAAGGTCTTCACCACCAAGCCATATCCCTAGACTTCTTTCATTTTCAACAAGGAATATTTCTATCATTTGATTCTACTAAATATTAGGAGTGGATTTTTCATAATCAGGAGTGTTTTGCATGGCTTTAAATTGGAGTAAAGTAGACCTTGAGTAGATCATGTAACTGTCAGATCTTTTCCAGGTGCTGCAAAAGGGAAATGAGGAATAACATTGTTCTCCACCTGAGCTATATTATATTGGTTGCTCGTCTTTCCTAGGATGAAAACTTGACATGATTCTGTTCCTGTACAGGGCGATGGACTCAGCTCAAATGAATCCGTTCCACTCAGCCATAGGTAAGGGCTACATGATCTACAACTTTTATCTTTATTTCCAATAAGATTATAAGAGAGAATTGAAATTTTATGACTTCCCAATCTAAATGGTACCGTAATACTATTGACTGACTTTCAAAGTAAAAAATAAGAAGAGAGAAGAAATGGAAAAAAATATTACACAACATGAAATTTGAATTTTGCTGTAATCTATTTACTAAGTATGACTATTTTTAAAAATAATAAAATGATTCTCTGAAATTTCTCTATTGAAAACATGGATGATCTAAATTGGTATACAATTAGAATGTTGGGTTGCAGCTTCAAAGCTTGCCCTTTGAACTACAGAAGCCATGGGAGGGTGTATTACCTTAGAATAGCATTTTTTGAAAGAAACTGTCAAGTCAAGAAAAGAGCAAGGCCGACAGCTCTACTTGCCTGACTCTCCAGCTGGTGGTTGTAGTTTAATAATTTTAATTTTTGCTAATGGAAAATCAGCCAGAGAAGGTAGGTTTCAGACTCTGGCTGTCTGTAGAGAAGAATATGGGATCATGAGCCTCACCTCTGATAACTGAGACTTTTAAATATACTCAGGCAATTGTCTAATAACAGTGATGTTGTGAACAAGCCTCATCAATGAATCAATGTTAGGAGCATACAAGCAGTTGTCATTGGGCATACTGGGTTTGGCAGAGGAGTTGAAATCATTAAGATCTTGGTGTATCTCATACTTGATTCATCAGTCCTTCTGTCCTTCCTGTGAAACGGTTTCTTGTGTAGGTGTGCCAGTATCTCTTTATGGGCATAAGACTATCTATACGCAATCTCAAATAAAAAAAAAAAAACTTGAAATTCAAAACTGAGTGGCTGAGTGATGCTAACATTTTTTTTTATTTTGTGAGTGGGGACTTTGATCATTTTACATTTTTAAAAATCATTTAAGAATTTAAACATTCAATCAGTATTCTATGCAAATATTAAAAAAATATGAAACACTATAAGGTCTGATACATGAGCAGTTTAGACTACATGTCCTCCACCTGTTCACAGTAATTCTTCCATACTAACATAAATGTGGCATGTATGTCCCGAGTTTGAGCTTATTAAAGCTCACCAGAGGATTAATAGATGGATCTAAGATGTTTGCATGCTGAAGAAGTTGGTTGTTGAATTCCCAAGGATCATGGTCATTCTTCCCTGGCTACTCTTTTGTTTTACGGTTCAGGATGTAAATGGCTTTTTTTTTTTGCCTTGTTTTCTTACTCCTTGTGACCCAGGCAATCACATCATATGCCCAAAGCAACATACGCACTTTAATGCATGCCGTCCTGTCCATGTGTGAGGTAAACAATCTTATACTACCTTTGGGATTTTGTTATAGGAATGAAAAACAAGTAACACAGTCACATTAATTTTCATGCATACATCTATTTTCTCTAAAAGTATTATATTCTTGAACTGGTCTCTATGAAATTTGTATAGTTTTTAGGGAAACCATCTGAGAGTCTCCGTGAGGTCATGAGTTATAGGATAATAGCATGGGCTACACCACGTCCTTTCTCGGTAGCCTGATTAACAGCTTTATTTCATTCTGAACTCACCAAGTGACAGCATCAAAGCATTATGGAGATGACTGCTCTAATATATTCCTTCTGCAAAGACTTATCTATTGAAGTCTCAAAGACGCCAGGATGTTCTCTGTTCTTGGGGTACCTGTGAAGGTGAGCCTCAGTTCTACCACTCATGTGGTGTAAATAATCTGGGCTTATAGTTTTAGGAATGTGACTGCTCTCCTGAGACAGGAAGATTCACTCACCAGAGAGGCTCTTGTTTTGTAAAAGAAGAGACATTATTACTGCACTGTTTCCTTATGCGTTCTTTGTAAGATAGAATTAATTTGTATTATTAAGTGTACTATTTTAAAATTTTGACTCTTTCTTTATTAACTGTTGTTCCAAACTGCTATAGCTGTACCGGGAAGGCATAAAATTAATTCCATTAATAAGCAAAGCCAACTTTCTAGGGATTATTTGCATTCAAACAAAGATTTGCATTATTAGTGTTTTGGCAATCCACTATACCTAGAGAAATAAAACATACAAATCGGCCAATAAAATATTGTGTCTTTTGGACAAAATATTCAGTGTCTTTTGGACAAAAGTTTAATGAGAGTTAATTCATGGTTTTGTCTTGAGGAATAATCATTTTCAAAGAGAGAATATTTTAGTGACATTAAAGGTACAGATGCCCTGGAGTCATGTTTTATCTTTATCATCATCTTCAAATAATTAATATTTTAATAGTAAGTGCTCAACACTTCCATAACTACCAGTCCACCCAGAGTGCCTATGAAGGCTGTTTTCAAAATAGGGCCATATTAACATGCTACAAAGGTGCATATCTACACAGTGGAATACATTTAGTTAATCTACAAGAAAAATGATTAACCCTCTTTTTTATTAGAAATGTTTAAAAACGTGTAATACATAAAAATAAGGAATAACAATTGAATGACCACAAGCAATGATCAAGACCTCCCCTCCCCTCCCCTCCCCTCCCCTCCCCTCCTCTTCTCTCCTCTCCTCTTTTCTGTCTCTTTCACAAACACATATTTTGATTAAAATTACTCAATGGAAAAAGAAGTATTTTCATTTACCTTTACCGTTAGACTCTGGCACCATCTGTTTATATTTCCCTCCTACCTTCAAGCTGAATATACATTTACATTTCATGTGCAAAATGGGCTTATAAGTGGATGGGCGTTTACTTTTCCAAGGAGGGCAAGATTGGGGTGGGCTGGAGAAGGGACTTAAGTATCAGCTGTCAGGCCATGACATGTCCTTTAAACTTCTCTGTTCCACCCAGAAACTGGCCAGAGTCATACTGACGTATACAGTTGTTTTAGGGTTCCTTGATGGACCACACAGACAGAGTCCTAATGCTCTCAGAAACATAAGGACATTTTTACTTAGTACCTTCCACAGACAAATTCTTTCTTTAACTGAAAGTTAATTGATTCCTTCTAAGGGTCCAACAACAGGTTTTTCTTCTTTCTTTCTTTCTTTCTTTCTTTCTTTC